TCATTCTAATAAGCTATTTACTTTAACAAGAGACATGAAATCCTTCCATTTATTATTCTTAATTCATTTCAATATGAAAACTTTTCATTTCGATTTAACTGACGCTGTCGTATATAAATTGTTCGCACCTCTTATTATGATAAAGAGTCACTGGAAAAAGACAAGTTCTGAATTTCAGTAGATGAAATTCATATTAGCTATATTTTGGGAAGAAAAGATAAAGTCTGCTATAGATGAACATCAGTTGACGGCCTCACAGCAACATAGAGATGGAAATATTCATCATGGAAAACATTGTAGCATAATTAAACAATGATCTATTTTTAGGTTTATTTCATTAATTTAGACTTACATTGAATATAAAATTTACTTGTTATAAAAATGATTATGCTTTGAGCTGTTGAGCAACTCTCTATGAGTTATAAGCCAATCGATAAACATTTTCTTTCTGAATTCGAAATAATTACCATGGGTGAGATCGACAAAGATCATCAAAATATCAGCGCTACATTTCTGACAATACCTCTGGTAACATTATAATTATTAATGAAGACGACAGAACTTTTCATCAAAGGAACGAAACACAGAACTGCTATATGCTTCCTATAGCGCCGTCACTAATAACTATACCAGACGTCAGCTTTTTAATAAAGAGAAACATATGTTTTTCTTCTTATAGATAACCGATTGGTAATAGCAGAAAATAAGCAGATCTTTGGTGCATGCATTTTTTTTTCTTGCCGAGGTTGCTTTATGCGAATAGAATAATGCATTTTTCTTTGTGTAAGGGAATTGGTTTTTGTTTTCATTTAGTACTCTAATTTAAAAGCAGAAGATATTTTTCAATAGGTGCATTTTTTCTTTGTTATTTGTCTATCGATAGATCAGGAAAGAGAGAAAAAGTCATTTTTATAGATTGTATACATTTTTTATGCAACTATAGTTAGTTTATGACAATAGAGAAGAGATGGTATTTATTAAAAATTTTAGTTCTTTGTTAATATGAGATAAAAATTTATTGCCTAGGAAAATTCCTTTTTTTTGTGATCGTCAATTAATAGAAATAGAGAAAAATGTACATTTATTAAAATACATGTACTGAGTCTTTCTTCTTCTATCAAATACCTATTTAATTCATAGATATTACTATCCGTGTAATAACAAGTCTGTAGCATTAGGGGAGAAGATCCTCTGAATATTTTATATATAGATATGCATAATTTTTCCGATAAGTACTCAATTCTTGACATATAATACGTATCTCGATATCAATAAATACAATTTTTTTACGATGAAGTAGTTAGTTCATAGCGATTTTGAATAAATCTTTCTTTAACGCAAATTTATTTTTATCGAATATTCTGTTATGAGAATAGAGATGTATTCAAATAGTATTTAAGTCCATTCTTTCTTTTCTTTTTGATGAGTAATCCATCCATAATGTAGTCAAGAATATTTCTTATTCAATATAAATTAGTTAGATAATTTTAAATCTTTACTTTTAAGAGAATTTAGAACGGTTTCTTTACCCGACTAATTTTTGTTTAATGTTGACTCAAAAATTACTAAAGTTAGGTGTATATTGAACCTTAGAATAACATTCCTATCATATGATTACTTTCTTTTTCCTTCAGTTACATAGACATGCTTTTTAACCAGTTTATTCTAAGGTTAGATTTCCATGAAATTACATTACACTTTCGATTTAATAGAAATAATAATGTTCAGAATTCTAAATTTTTACCGTAAAGTATAAGAACATAATATAACTGTTATTTGAAATAATATCGTTCAGAATTTCTCCAAAGTATATTCTTAATTATGAAATACTTTAGATTTTCTACGATTAGATTTTTGAATATTACAAAAGATATTTTTGGTTTGTTGACGAGATATGTATATATAGAAAATGTAAAGTACTCTACAATTAAGAATATACGTTGGAGAAATTCTCAACAATATCACTCCAAATAATAATTATATTATTTTCTTATATTTACGGTGAAAACTTAGAATTCTGAATATTATTATTTCTATTAAATCGAAAGTGTAATGTGATTTTGTTGAAGCTTAACCATAGAATATACTGATTAAAAACTATCTCTATGTAACTGAAGCAAAACAGAAAAAGAAAACCTATTATATGTAAAATGTACATGTTTTAAGTTTTGTTAATTTTTATGGAAAAAAATTGGTCGTTTTTTCGACCTAAAAAATTTTGATGCAAAAAATCTGTATAAATAGAACAAACTAAATATCAAATAATACACATTTTTTTAAAGACCAAATTAGTATAAATTAAGTGTCATGTTTGTCTGCTTGAGGATTTTTTTTGTTCAAATTCATTCGTTTTGATGCTTATTTATTTTTTCCGTAGATTTCTTTCATTCTAACATTCATATTTTTCTCATACGAGTATGTTCATGATATCGTTTCGTACGTTATAATCTAACACATTGATTATTGCACAGAAACATTCTTCTCATGGGATCAAACTTTCTTCTTTTTTTCAGTCAAGATAAGATTAGTACAGTCACTTGAGAAATATTCTTGTGTAAAATGAACAAAAAAAATGAGTTCGACACTTTAGTTGACTTTATGTTCTTTGTCTTTCCTTTACTTCGTTGTAGACAATTTAGCCATATAAGCAATCGATCTAACGTTATCAACTATATCATTTTTTTTCCTTTTCCTGTTATCCACAATACTAATGAGTTGTTATTTTGATTTTATTGCAATCATAGAGTCGTAAATAGAGGATAGTTGAATAATAGTAGTTAATATCCTCAAAGCATATCTTCGAATAAAATATTGTTAGGTGATTGGGAAGGTATACTATGGGCCTTGCGCATATGTTAGTTAGGTTACCCAAACATAGTTACTTTCTGTTAATGATAAAATAAGCGAATTCAATAAGGTAAAGAGAAAACTCAATGCTTTAGAATTAATTAAGAGCTAGTTAAGACTATATTTTCCAACTCTTTTAACTCTAATTGTCACCTAACATTGATACATCTACCGATGTACAATTAGAATAAAGTTAAAATAGTTAGAAGATATAGTTGTAACTAGCTCTCAAGTAACTATAAAGTATTGAGTTGTCTCTTTACCTTATAGAATTTGTTTTATTCAGAAATGCAACATGTAAAAATGCGTTTAAAATATGAAATGAAAAAAAATCGTAAAAACCGCACATTTTAACACATTAAACTATTCGACACTGGAAAAACTTGTTTCAGAATTATAATGCGTTAAAATGTGTAGTTTTTACGATTTGAAACGCGTTTATTTTTAACCCATTTTTACGCATTATTTATATTGATTTAGTCTAACTAGGTAGTTGATTTCAAGTTTTATTCGATATATAACCTGTGTGAATAGTTTTAATGAAATTGTAGGTACAAAGTCTAGGTTGATCGAAAAGTCATTTGAACGAAAAACAATTGAATATCTCTGTTACGACTCGAGTAAACAGGCTGAGTTTTTTTTACCAATAATAAAAACATATTCATATTCCATATTCATGAAGATAAGACTAGAAAGAACATTTTTTAAAGTATCACTATTGATTTCAACAAAAACAATTTATTTTTTCACAGATAGAAAAAAAACTAATATACGATGAAGAAGAACCAATTTATCAACATAAAATGTAAACAATTATATGATCTTTTGATTACCATCTGTCATTTATTCACATATCTTTTCTCTTCTCATATGTTTCTCATAACGTTCTATCATAGTTCATAATAATAGTTCATACGATGTAAATTTGTTTTCCTTGTATAAAGTTGGTCATATTCATGTGCTAGCTCTGCACACGTTAATTATGTGAATATCTTTGTTCTTTTCTCATGAATTTCAACATCTACAAACACATCAATTCGAAATAAGAGTTACATGAAAAACATTAGATTGAAAATGAAGAATAGACAAGAACAAGACTTACCAAGTATACATAAAACAAAACGTGGCCAGAGCTAGTACATGAATATGACTGGCAATATACAAGGAAAAAAGACTTATATTGTATGAATTATCATTATAGACTATGATAAAACGCAAGGAGAAACATAAGAAGAGGAAGGATATGTGAATGAACGACAGAAAATAATCGAAAGATTATTTAATTATTGACATTATATCTTGATTAGAGAGCTGCGGGTCTACCTTTTTATGAACCCAAACAAAGGTTAAAATTTGAATACGAACCCGGATCTGGTCGGATCCAAATTCGAGGTTTTTCCATGCATACCTGGCACCCTTCGTTTTATATGAACAAGTGAAGAATCAAGGTTTTAGCTATTTATCTGCTACTCTCAGAAAAAAAAACTCAACGTACAGTTGTATCCTGTTGCTGTATTTCTCAAAAAAAAAAAAAAAATAAAACTTTGGATCGGGATCCAGCCAGGTTCGAATCTGAAAGGATCCGTAGCTCTCTAATCTTGATAAATTAGTTCTCCGTCATCGTACATTGTTTTTTCCTACATGTGAAAAAGTAAAAATTTTTTATCGTTGAAATCAATAGTGATACTAAAAAAAGGTTTTCTCTCATCTTATCTTTATGACTATGTTTATATTATTGGTAATAAAACTAGCTCATTTGCTCGAGCCATAACACAGACATTCAATTGTTTCTCGTTAAAGTGACTTTTGAGCAACCGTGTTTTATAAAAATTGATTAAATATAAACATGAATAATTTTTGAACGATTTAAAAAATGTTCCTCATATTTCTTATAAATACTGAATTAAATTCATAGATAGTTTACGTAAAAAAAAATCAGATTCTAATAGATTTTCAAGTCATTTTCAAATAAAATATGAAACTATTGTTTATTTGCATGACTATCGATTGATTTTTGTAATTCTCTGTATATATATATAGGGTTTAATGAGATATTTTTATGAAGTTAATACATACATTAGTTAGATAATTTGATTTTTTCAATTTCAGATATAATATTGTGAAAAATTGACTTTTTATATAAAATAATAATAATGATAATTAATTCATCAAATAAAGTCAAAGTATCTCCATCTTCTAAAACTATCGTTTCAGCTGCACGTTCACGTACAATTCGTGCTAGTCGAGAATTAAATTTATTTTCTGATAATCCATTTTGGTCACCAATATTAACATTGAACGAACAAATTCTTAGTACTCGACTTTTTCTTATATTTATTTCAATATCTCTATTAGTCGTTATTGGTTATGCTAGTTTAACTATTCGAACACATGATAGAACTTTAAATAAATTTTCTATATCGGATTTTGAACGACTTGAAACACTCTATCCAAGTACAATTAATGTTCCATGTACTGAAGTATCAATACCTTTTAATAAATTTTTGGATTTTTCTCCTCGATTTCATCAAATATGTTTAAGTCCATTTATTGGAAAAAAATGGATCTCATCTTTATTTCTCCTTAATGCAACATCTCATAATATTTTGGATTTTCGTACATTTGCTTTTTCTCAATATCGTTCTCTTCGCTTACTTTGTCATTTAGCACGTCAAGCTGTGAATGATACTCATCGTACATTTAATTCTACTCATTTAGTTAATCGTAATGCTTTTTCACGAGCTCAGTTTAATGAAATAGCTTCTGTTCTTACTGATAACCTTCATAGAAATGTTTTAACAAATGAAAAACGAACTGCAAGAGTAGTATCAACGATTATAGCACAGAATCGATTATTATCAGCTTTACATACAAACTATTATGTTCAATCTATACCTGGTTCAAGAACATATACAACATTTCACACAGTCTATTTAGAAATAAATGAAACAGAGAACTCATTTTGTGATTGTTTATTGAAAGCAAATCAATGTACATATCCAGCTGGTGCTTTTTATAATTGGACTTTACCAGAATTAGGAAAACCAGCTAAAAATAATCCACCACCTCAATTTCAGGCAAGTAAATTTTTTTTTTTGATTATATAAAAAAAAATTATTGTTAGAAAGAGAAAAATCTATTTAAATTTGTGTATCAAAATGTGAAAACTTATGTCAAGTAGAACAGCTTAAAAATATCTACCATTAGAGTAATTATTTATGTATCAATAGAAGCAATCACTAGTTTTGCATTAAATTATAGAAGTATCTGTAAATCATGGTTAGATACTCTCTCATGATTGCTATTTATTACGGTGCTGACCATATTTGAAAGTGTCTGTGATAGACTATGTAATGATCGTAGTACTTTTTAGTCTTTTTTTTATTACTGTGAAGCTCCAATCAACTTTTTAGCAGTATCTCACGCATTTATCGATAGCTTGTATTAAGATCTATTCAATAATATTACTTGCATGTATTATTGGAAAGGTTCAAAACTGAAGTAAAACAAGTATTATGATTCTTTCATATTCAAAAACGTGTTATTCTTAAAATCAGTATATTTTTTCTTAGTTAACTAAGGAGTTAATTCGAAAGAATGATCGGTTGTACATTCATTCGTGCAATTATTGTTTTTGTGTTCTCTTCTTTTTTATATATGTATTTTATATAGATTGTATGTATGTTCCTTTTTATGTACGAACTCTGCTGATGGTATGAAACGTCTCATAATACGTAGTAGAAAGCACACACAGAGAATTGTAAAGAATTAGATGGTAGTGGGTAAATGAAGATGTTATTAGACAAAAATGATGTATTCAAGATAATATACAGCTCTAATAAGAATCAACGATCTTCTGCGGAAATGACTCAATATAACACTATTTGTCATGATTGAAATGATTATCCTATATACTCTGATGATTCCAGGATCTTTAAGATTACATATATAGTTATCTTCAATTCCATTTTATCATATGTCTATAACTTATGTCAGCGCTAAAATTAAACAGAGATAAGTGTAAGCACAATAACTCGACAATGACAATAGTTAGAAACCTGCACTTTTCAGTGCTTATCATCTTCGCAAACCATTCAAAAGAAAATGCATGAAAACGGTGTTCCGTTTTCTATGTAATTTTGATTTTAACATGTGCTTCAAGTAGAGGAACTTCAGATCTATAGTTCAAGGCACAATTCAAGTGATTATCTTCTCACATCCCAATGGTGAGCAAATAAAATCACGTAAGTATTCATTCAAATTCTATAGAATTCTGTTGATTGTTAGCAAATTTTCTTACTTTTTATCTAAAATTTTCTTGAAACTGAATACTGTTTTCATGAATTTTTTTCCACGATGACGAGTTGTCTTACATAGTATCAAACAAAAAATTCGTTCGAAGTTCTTCTCTCTTGATCGCTAAAAACTGCAGGTCGCTAGCTTTTGCCGTTATCCAGCTATTGAGATGATATCTATTCTTTTTTAATTCGGATGTGAACATTAATATCTATAAATTAGTTATTATCAAAATTTACAATTAATGAAATATATTTTGAGTATTGACTTTTTCTCATAAAAATTTAAAAAAAAAAGGATTTTAAAGAGATATAATATGTGTTTAGATTCCTGGACTAATGGCTGGATGTATACCTCTTGATGCTATGCGTCAATCAACTTTGGAATGTTTATATAATCAATCATGTATAAATGCAATATCACTTCAACCAAAAATTTCACGACCAAAAGCTTTAAATACATCCTTATCACGATTTCCATTGAATTCAACAATAAGTTCAATATTCGATGAATCTTTATTTATTGAATCTTGGCAAAATCAATCAAGTTTTGAAAAATATTACGCCGCTTGTGCACCAAAATCTCTCTCCTATAGTTATGCAAATCGATTTCATCTTGGTACAATTATTACAATGAGTCTTAGTGCATTCGGTGGTCTTGTTATTGCTTGGCAATTAATTACACCAACATTTATCAAAATTTGGAAACGAATTAAATGGAAAAAACAACAAAAACAATCACCTACAACTACAGAACAAACACATATAGAAATGGAAATTTTAAAAATGGCACCAAGACCAATAAATCAAGGTTAATAATCTAACTATTCATTAAATATGACACCTATATTTAACACTATTTTGTGAAACTCAGATATATTTTCGAAGAAAATAGTGAGTGTAAGTTTTAAGTTGAAGTTTCATGGCTCTTCCATCTTCCTTCCCATTAAAGACCTTAGCAACTCTTCTTAAAGAAAGGAAAAATTTTTGTTTGAAATGCAGAAATAAAACAATTATACTCTACAAGAGTTTTCACTTTATGTATTTTGTATAAGTTTAATGAAGCTAAAGAATTTATGTGAGTTCCACATTTCAGTCTCAAAAGGAGCTGCGATAATAAGCTTTCTTTTCCATGGAAGTCCATATTCAACAAATAAAATTTGAAATGTAATCTATTTTTGATTGTTTCATATAAACATAATCTTCTTCAAATATTGATTTATAGCTACCAATACTATCAATGTTCATTATAAATTATCGATATTCTTTGATTAGTATCAGATAAAAGCAAAAACAATGAATGAATGAGACTGATCATTAGTGTGATTTTCATGTCTGACATTAAAAAAAATTTTAGTCTGATGTCAAATATGTAAGTGGTATCTTTATTTCGTGCATAATCCACGACGATTTTTCCTTTAAATAATACTATTAAATTTCAGACAAAAATTCTTAAAAACTAAAAGACATCCTCGTATAATTTGGCATTGACTTTTGACTAGACTTGATCAAACTTGAAAAAAAAAGCAGAACATCTCGTCTTTCAACTAACTTGTGGTATTGCGTATTACTTGTAGACAGTTTCATTAGTCCGATATCTTTTCTACAACTATTACTAATTGTAGCTCTTTGTAGAAGGCCAGCCTGACACAGAGTTGTTTCACTCAATTGCTTGAGCTTCCCATACACACTGACGAATTACTTACTAGTCATAAGAACTGATGTATATCTCTATATAATTAACATGCTATCGGACAGATAATTCGAGGCAAAAAGCCGTTCAGGTCTTGTCGAGGTTCGTTTTATGGCTAGTGCTGTAAAGTTTCGAGTACAGTGCCATGAAGTCATATATCGGACAACGTAAATATTTAACCCATAGCGACTTAGTCAAACTGATGTAGTAAAATACATTTCGAATAATTTTTTCAGATGTAGAATCCTCATGAAAATTAAAATATGAATGTTTTTTCTTTTAGCTGTAACTGCTTATGTTCATCGAACAATTCATAATTTTAATTTATTTACGTTGGATAACAAAGATAATCCCGAGGATGAACGTATTGGTATCATTGCTACTCGTCTTTATATTTTCTTAATACTTATCGGTCTTATGATTCTTGGTTTTTATACATTATTATTAAAACGTAATCAAACACGTACTGTTAAATTGCCTTCACTTTCAACATTTGAAACATTATATTCAATGCATTCATCAACATTAAATTGTCCATGTTCACGTTTTTCAATGTCATATGCTCGAATAATGTCTCTTTCTCCTCGTTATCATTCAATATGTTCAAGTGAATATCTCGAAGATTATTGGTTATCTTATTTTGGTCGAGTAGAAATTGATTTGGATACTATTGAGTTTATATCAACTGACTTTCGAATTAGTGGTCAATCATTTTTTGATTTAATACGTATATTATGTGAAACAGCAAATGAAGTAGTTGAAAGTGCCTTAAGAGTATTTCGATCAAATCGATTAGTTACAATTAGTGCATTATCACGTTCACAATTTCATATTGAAACTATGATACGTTTAAAACAATTTGAACAACAAACAATAGCTTCTTTTCTTGATCTAATTGAATTAATTCGTTCATCAATTCAAACAAATCAATTAGCAGAAGAAATGTGGACAAATATTGGACCACTTTCAGTATATAATAATGAAACATCAAAATGGTCATTTCGTTTTCGACCAAGAAATTTTTATACAAATTCATGTTCATGTGCTATATCTAATGAATGTATTCGTCCTGTTGGTTTTTATTTTCAAATAGATACCATACATTCTACACCTAATACAACCGTACCTGGTTTAGTTCTTAGTTGTTATGCAATTGATTCTCTTCTTTTATCTACATTAGAATGTTTTTACGACGAAAAATGTATCAAAATTCTTATTGATAATTATGATTTTGATGTTGTTGGTTTAGTTCGACCATTAGATAATCGTGCTGTTCAAATAAAACCACTTCGACATAAAACTAGTCGTTTTTATCCAAATACAACAATAAATGAAATTTTTTCACAATTATTTATAGAAAATTGGATTAATTCAAGTAATTTTACATCATATTATACACGATGTGCACCTTCACAATGCACTTATACTGTACGAAAACGTTTTGATATAGCTTATATGTTAGCTATTATGCTTGGATTTTATGGAGGATTAAGTGCAATTTTAGAAATCATTTTACCACCACTTGTTAAGATAGGTTCACAACAATGGTCAAAACGAAAAAATCCAATACACTTAGATAATTCTAATGAAGTCACAACAGGTAAGATAATTAATATTATTTTATTCCATTCAATTAAGTAAAACATTGACGATATTCTATAGATAAAACAAAGATGAATTTTAATTAATCTTTAACAGGAATTTTGAAAAAAAGAATTAGAAGATATTTTACATCGTAATAATATTTTAATAAAATTTTATAGAAACAAACTTCTAAAAATAAAATTTCTTTATTGCAAAGTTTAATTATCTTCGCTGTAAGCTCAAATGAAAGATTTTTTTTTCAATATAAAAAAATTTTCAATCACATACCGTAGTCGCGAGAAAGTTCCAAGATTATTACAGGGGGCTGTTGGAAAATGTCTCATAAGGACACTCAAAACTTTCAAAAAAAAACCTTTCTAATTTTACTCAGTAAAAACGAATAATTTAAAATTATGAAGAAATGTGCTCCGTCACATCGCATTTTCGTGATCACTGGGCATGTGAACTTTTTTAATCGGTGGCATAGAGTAAGATGTTTTTGTATGATTATGTTATCACAATGTTGTAAAATTTTAGAGTCAACTGACGTGAAAATTCACTAAATGATAACTATTCAAAAGGCAAAAATCATGAATGTTGTTAAGTTCCTTTTTTTTCTTGTTGCATTTTAGTCTAATGCGTCATATCAATTTCTGCAGTAACACTTACGAATGGAAATGATTTTTGGTATGATTTTGATTTCAACTAGCGAAAAATTTTCCAATTTGTCTATTATATAACTGTGGATTTTTCCAGACTCGGATCTAGTCCAAAGATTTACTTTTTGTCGCATTTGACTCTGTATTCAGACTAAGCTTTAGGCCCAGTTTTCAATTAACTTTGTATCTGAATAAAGATAATCCACAGTTAGTCTATAATACTCTCTTTTCTCTTTTTTAAGCTCGATATCATTTATATTAATATAGCCAAAACTGTGCCATATGGTAGAAGTTTCTGATGTTACTGCTAGTTTGACATTTTTTTTTAATGTCAAATCTTATCGAAGAAAAACTCGAGTCTGGACTCAACCGGGTCGAGGTTTGGTTCTACCGAGCTCAAGTATAGATATTTAATTTTTCTCGAGTTTGAATTCAAGTTAATAAAAATATAAACCTGCCACTCTATATTGCCTATTCCTAGTAACACTGTGTGAGGATTATCCTTATAAACAAGTTTGAAAAAGATCTAATAAGTATTTGTTCTATTCTAGACACAATAACGTATACTCCATCTTCTCCTTCGTCGAAAGAAACTGATCGTTCCTGTCTTGATATATCTAAAGAACTTTTATCATCAAATTTATTTGTAAGTGAACCACCTTCAACAGAGAAACGATTTCTAGATCAAGAAATCAATGCTACTCGTATTTATATATTTTTATTTATATTATGTTTAATTGCTGCTCTTATTTATTCTGGTCCATTGAGTGAAGAAATGGAATCTATTAAAAAATCTGCAACAATAAATATTGTTAATGAACTTCATCAGAAAAATATTTCAAGTCTTTCATGTCCTTGTTCAAATGCAGCTGTTCCTTATTCAAATTTTTTATCCATAAAACCAGAATATCATTCAATATGTTCAAGTGAATATGTTTCTCCATCATATATCATTAATTTATTAGAAAATAATGATACTATATCATTACCATTAAGTGCTCATTATCGTATATTATCATCACTTTGTTATATATCTCATCGTTTAATTGAAAATGCTAAACATGTCTTTGGTACTCGTGAATTAGTTACTGTAGAAACATTAACACGTTCTACATTTGATATTCAAACAGAAGCGTTAATTTCAGCATTTATTTCTAAAACTTCAGCTGATTATCGTCGTACACTTTCATTTATAGTTAATTCATTTAGTGTTAATCAATTATTACATCTTTTTAGAAGTAATTGGGAAATTAATTTTACTGATGAAAATGAAAACTATATAATGAAAACATTTCCACGACATTTTTCATCATCAAATTGTAGTTGTGCAATATCATCAAATTGTAGTGAACCATTAATAGATGATATTGTTATTGGTTGTTTTCCATATGATGGTTTTCGTTTATCAAAATTTAAAAATTTTTCATTAGGAAAATTAAATAATCAATTATTTGTAGAAATATGGACAAATAAAAGTAATTATACAAATTATTTTCAAACATGTAAACCATTAGAATGTCAATATACATTACCGGATAAAAATAATCCTCTTTTTATGTTAACAACTCTTTTAGGACTGTATGGAGGTAAATAAAATCAAAGGAATTTTATTAAAATTTCACTTTTTTATGTTTAGGTTTAATATACACTTTACGTTTGATTGTTGGTCAATCGTTGCTTGCTTATCGATGGTGGATAACACATTCAACAACAAAAACAACTGCAGACGAAATTTAACTGAATCAGTGCATAATTGAAATTATATTAATGTATCGTTTTGTATTTTATTCTGTAATAAAACTGCATATCAATATGTTGGAAAGTTTTCTTAACAAACTTTATAATTCAATTTGTTTATTAACTTTTACGTTGTATATCAAATAATGTTCTATTATTCTCATTGATGAGTATTCGCTTATTTTTCAATTGATTCACAATTAAGAAGGATAGTTTTTCGTTATTGTTCTTTTATATTATAGAATAATTATAAAGTGGAGACAAATAGTTTGAGAAAAAATAGACATAAAAAAGAGTGACCGCCTATCGTACGAAAATACTTCTGGAGTTTTTCTAGCATCGAATTCAATAGATAGTGACCTAAGCTTCAGTATAAATTTCCTTCCATTCTTCTTCCAGACGTTTATAGAGGATTGCCTTCTTGTAGAACAATGTTGCCTTCAGTTTGTTGTTGAGAATACTCCAAAGCATCACAGTTGGATTGAGAACCGTGCTCTTCATGGGTGAGTTCAACACTCTCAACTCCGTTCTTTTAATTTTTTTCTTCTACGATGTTTGATGTATGTGAGGGAGTATGGTTTCGCTGGCAAATTGTTTTCACCTTGTTGTCGAGTTTTGTTTTCGATCACTTCAGCTTGCCATTTAAAATATTAAAATATATCTGCTCGTTCATGTTTCCATCGATCTTGTATTCGTAACCGAAGTTCTTCAAGTAATTAGAAACTGCTCTTCGAATGACTTATTCATGTAACGACAAAAATTCAAATCGAAAAGTGGAAAGATGTGAGAGATATCCACAAAGTACTGAGAGATCCATTCTTTACATTGTATTCGTTACTCAGTGCACATGCGCTTCACCTGTGTAAGACTTTCTCATAGGCGTTATCTTTATTTTAGTTATATCATATGTCTCGATATACCTTCACATTTATAAAACATGAAGACATGTTGACTGATGCCTCAATGAATGGTGAGAATTTTTGTTTCACATAGTGTGTTGTGTATATTTGTTGTTCTATCTCTGATATTTATACTAACAAAGTCTGTCCCAAAAGTCGCTTTCCATAAACCTATTTCGCAAAACTCAACTATATATTCAACTTAATCGATGATTGTTTTTTTTCACATAATGTGTATCATCGTCAAGTTTTTACATATAAAGAGAAACTTCTTAACAACTGTGCAAACCTGTGATCTGTCATTGAAACACAAAAATTTACGTTTTTATTTTCTCAGAATACTTGTCAGAAAATCATTCGAAGTGATGTCATGTTTTTGACTGAATCTTTTCTCCAGAAATATTACTGAGAATGAAAAAAAACATAAAAGAATATTTGTTCATAGCAATTACTAAATAGTAAGAACTGTTATACTGAGTTTTCTTGTCCAAAAAAATCTAATTGCAGAATTTTCAGCTGAAATTTTAAATCAAAAACAGTATGTCTTTCGGGTAACACTCCATTTATTCATAGATTTAGCAACTGTTGAAAACTTATGCTGACTACAACGACAACTAGGCATATCTAAAACGATAATTTCACGAAAATATTTTGTGATTAGATGTTTCAGACAATATGTTGCCATAGAGATAAAACTTAGAACAACAGTCCTTACTGTTGAGTAATATGTCTTGAGCAAATATTACTTTATAGGTTTCTCATTTCCATCGATGCTTATTTACGAATAAAAGATAGAGTCAATAGTGAAAAATCATTTGAAATAATTTTTTGACAAGTCTTTTGAGAAAAGCAAATTATAAATTCCTGTATTTTACTGATAAATCATAGCTATGAATAGTCGTTGAGAAGTTTCTTTTTATTGATAAAAAATAGATGCTGATAACCATCATATGAAAAAAACAATCGTCGAGTAATTTCGATAAATACTGGAATTACGCGAAATATTTTATGGTAAGTGACTTTTGAGATAAACTTTATAATGAATGACATAAGGATGAATTATTTAAACAATTACGAATGTCAATTAATTCATTGTTATAATTGATTAACATTCATTTTCAATAATGGAATTCGTCCTTTTGGCTTTAATTATGTAGCATTTCTATAATAATACTATTCTCGTCAAACGATAATGAAAAAGTAAAAGTCAGTTACTACATATCATGTACACGTATATATATTTTTTTCTAGATCTTTCTTTCTTTTGGTTCCTTGTCAAGAAGAGGTAATTATAGAACTGATTAATATTTCAGCTTTTAGCGTCTCACAATAGACTTTGATCATGAACAAAAACAAAGTTGAGATGTATGTGCATGAATCTAATGCAATTTATTCGCCATTCGACAAAATATAGTTGTATCATCTATTCTTAAGAAAATTTAAAAAAACAATAATGAAGATTTTCATAACATAAAGTCAATTCAATAATATTTCGATGTATCTTTTTTTTTGTATATAAATTTAATGCTCATTATACACTCGTGACAGATCATTCTAGTTGTATCTATGACAATATTCTCTGTAAAATATATTGTAAATTATCATTTGAAGAATTTAATTCATAATTTCGAATAGAATAGATAAGATATGAAGAAAACTTATTAGAATTATCATGGTTCGTATTTGTAGTTTCATGATTTTAAATTGTCATGTCGAAAATTCTGTCTATTTTCGAAATAGTCTGAATGATTTCCTGAGAATGTTCAAACATTAGAATTCCGTGGCTCGTCCAATAAGTCACCTGAAACAGTCTTCGAGTTCCTTTTCGAAATAATTTTGTTGTTATCTATTTCAAATTTATATTTTTATTTGTTGTACATGTATCTAAAGTTACCCTTAAGTATGGAACTAGCGTACTCCACATAAGCGAAACTTTCATTATACTTATACTAATGAATTTCTTTGTTTCATTTCTCTTTCATATTTTTCTATTAAATTGAATATTCGATAGGATTTGATGATCAAAATTTTAGAAAAACCCAATGATTGCAGTGAGTACACATGAAAATGAATAGATTAGTTAGGAGTACAGCTACGATAAGAATCTACATAAAACTTAACGGGTTTAAAATCTACTTCTACACACTTTTTTCTTATCGTGTCTATAGCATTCCATTCCACAATAATGCCTTTTCTCAAGAAACTAGAAGTGCGTGATTTGACATCAAAATATGGTCACAATCAGCGTGGTATTGTCGCTCTCGAACCTATTCGACGTGGAGAATTAGTCCTTGAATGTGATATGTCCACATGTAACTATTATCCACCCGACGATCTTCGTAATAAAATGACACGAGCAGAAGTACTTGCATTGATGGAGAAGTATCCTGAAGCACGTGATTTCATTCTTTCTTATACGTATATGATTGATGATGATTTGTTCAATGTACCACGTCATTATATTACGCAAGAGATTACAGACGAATGTGTTTTCTTCAATCATTCTTGCGATCCAAATTGTGGATTTGCAACTGATGATGAATTTTCTGTTATGGCCATTCGGGATATAGATGTTGGTGAAGAACTTACTTATCATTATGGTTGTTTGGATTCAGAAACAACTTTGCCGGGTGATTTTATATGTAAATGTACTGCAAAAAATTGTGTTGGTAAATTAAAATATGACTTTTGGCGTGATCCTGAATGGCAAAAGAAATATGAACAATATTCAGGCGATTATATTAAACGAAAAATTAGAAAACTACGCGAAGAACAAGCACAATAATCATGAAATTATTTAAGAACAAAATTAAACTTTTCAAAACGAGCATTTATTTCTCTTTTTCTTAATAAACCTGCGTAGAATTTAAAGTATCTAATCAGCTTTTGAAAATAAGTTATATTTAACTTTGATATTTGAAATTAATGAAAGAGGAGACAAAAATCCAAGTACAGTATGAATCTTGACTTCCCTCTCTCTGTGGAAATACCGTGAATGGATGGGTAGAGTGTGAGTGTATGGCAGTATTATTGGCGTTGTGTTTGTATGTGATAGAGTTCGTTGAAGAAGAGATTCACATCCGCATGCTTGATAGGGTATATTCAATCAAATGTGCAATCACTATTCTAGAATAGTTGATCGCAAAATATGAAAAAATGAAATAATCCACAATCAATGTCACAAAGGTTTCAAAAAATAATTCATGTTACTTTCTTTGATTTCAAGATTCGTACTCACACTATTTGAGGGTACGTGAGTGGAAAGAACAACGATCCTCGCCCACGCTCTGCAGTTAAACATTGTTTGTCAAATCGAGATCGAAATTATTTTATTCAATATGAAGAAGATTCTTCGTCGATAAATCGAATTTCACATCAAAACCATCGATGATACAAATTGAATCGCATAGTTTCTCTAGGAAAATTTGGAAAAAGTCAAGAAAACTTTCATTAGACGAGCAGTTTTTGATGAAACAACGTTTATTTGAAAATCAATGGTCATTCATCGAGATGATTTTTATTGTCTAATGAGATGGTAGAGTGACGATCAAGTTCTTCTATCATTGCTTGTTTTTTGAGTGTTCCTTTACTAACGAATCATAGGCAATGCGAAAGATATCATTCAAAATTCACATCCTATCAATAGTTTCGGCGACCCAATCTTATTTATTGTTTTGTACATCGTAGGCGGAACGTGATCTTGTTTATTTCTTATCAAGAGATTCGTGATTCCAGATTTTTAGGAAGTTGTGATACTCACGAAAGTTAATCATTTGATATCATGTAACACAAACAGAACACGATCATGTCAAACTTTTGTCTCGTATTTCAATTTTGATGACTGTTAATCTTTGTGCATAAGAATTTCTTGGAAAATCAAATTTTAATCGAAGTCGCTGGTATTGTTTGACAAGTGTACAGCAAAAAGGTTCGCAAAATCTAATTGAAAAATTTAAACATACCATGTTTTATATAACTTCGAAGTAAACAGATACTTCATTTAATATTTTATATTTATTCGTAACTGATCTTGTTCTTTGCTTGATAGTAATCATTGCAAATAGCATCGGTGGTTTTCTTTGTGTTGTAATGTGTGCCTAGTGATTTGCTTCTGTTGTTGTTGGAAATCGGTTTCGAAAAAATAAACAAGGCTAAAAACGATATTGAACTCAACACTTCTTAATATGTTTTTTTAGGGAAATTATGAATAATCATTCATTTGTTTCTTTTAAATACTTATTACCAAGCTTCGACTAAATCGTAAGAGAATGATCATTGTCATGATTCCAATGAAAGAGTTCGTGATATACGGGCTGAATATGACATCTATCTTAATAGAAAAGCAACATTCTTTCTGCACTTGAAAACAAATGTCATTCCAGTATATTATTAAGTTCGATACTAGTCATATAAAAAAAATCAATCCTCTAAAATACGAATACCTCACGAATCTGTCAATGCACGTTAACAATGTTAAAAGTGATCCGAGTAAAGCTTACAGTTTTTTTTTGTCAAAAAATCAGATTCAATGAAGAAAATAAAAATATGAGCCAGTTGACAACAGAAATCAACAGGAAAATATAAAGTTTATTGGAAAAATTTCAACGAGGAAAGTAATAGGCTAATGAATATTTGTCTGATTTTTTTATTCACCAAGTAAAATGAATATTTTATTACTTCTACACACTGTATGTTTTTTCACAAGACAAAACTTCATGTAAAAAATGATGTTCTTTAATATATGATAAGAAATGAAACTGTTTAAGATTTTATCTTTGAAGAACATAAGCAAACAATTATCATCATTACAAGAGATAAACGGTTTGATTATTTAAGATGAAAAAGATCATATTTCATTTCATTTCATTTCAGTTTTCTTTCTCGAACGATTACGATGCATCTTCATCTCTGTTTAATAGTTTGTCTTACTTTGTCTGCTGTTTATAGTCGTGACATTAAAAGTTCACAAAAACCATTATTATCAGAGAAGTTTATTAATGGAATAAATACTGCTCAATCAACATGGAAAGCAGCACCATCAAAATTTATGACATGGTCAAAAGCTTCAGTAAAAAGATTAATGGGTGTTCTGCCAGAACATTTTATACAAGTAAAACATTTGGATCCACTTGTACATGATGTACCAAAGGATCTACCAGATAATTTCGATGCACGTGATCAATGGCCTAATTGTCCATCAATTAAAGAAGTGCGAGATCAAGGAAGGTTGGTTTTATAGAATAGAAAAAGAAAATATGTTAAGCTAAGATTTGTTTGTTGATATTTTGTAGCTGTGGTAGTTGTTGGGCTTTTGGTGCAGTTGAAGCTATGTCCGATCGTATTTGTATTGCATCAAGTGGATCACAAATTGTACGTATTTCAGCCGAAGATCTTGTTTGTATGTTCACTTCACTTTATTTATATTGTATTTAAGCAAAAAAAAACAATTGAATATTTTAGCGTGTTGTTTATTGTGTGGTGAAGGTTGTAATGGAGGTTTTCCAGTAGCAGCTTGGAATCATTATAAACTTACTGGATTAGTCACTGGTGGTAATTATAATACAAAAGAAGGTTGTGAACCATACACAATTCCTGCATGTGATCATCAGTACGTTTAAGAAATTTGCCTTTTAGACTAACAAAATATCTCGGTTTTTTTTTCTAGTGTGAATGGAAGTCTTCCACCAGTAAGTAAATGATTGATTTGAAATAAGATAACAGTATCATTTTGTTTGTTAAATATAGTGTCAAGCTGAATTACCAACTCCTCGATGTACTCACAAATGTATTGATAGTTATCCAACACCATATACTAAAGATAGACATCACGGTGCAAGTGTTTATTCAATTAGATCAAATCAGGAACAAATTCAAACAGAAATTATGAAAAGTGGACCTGTTGAAGCTGCTTTCTCTGTATATGCAGATTTTCTTACTTACAAATCAGGTGTTTATAAACATACAGCTGGTTCTTTTCTTGGTGGTCATGGTAAGATTAAAATTTTTTATCCTTCTTTATTCTAAATATTAAAAAAATATCCTTTTTGTTTGTTTTTCTTAGCTGTTAAGATTCTTGGTTGGGGTGTAGAAAATTCAACACCTTATTGGCTCGTTGCTAATTGTAATTATTAATAAATTTATTTTATAATGACTATTGTTTGTTTTCTTCTAGCATGGAATGAAGATTGGGGTGACAAAGGTTTTTTTAAAATTCTTCGTGGTTCAGATGAATGTGGCATTGAAGGCAGTATTGTTGCTGGTGCTCCAAAACTTAGTTAACAAATCATTTGATTTGATTTGATTCATCGTTCGTGTTGTTCAAAGAACGAAGAAAATAAATTTTATTTGTAATTTCAAACATTTTTCATCTATACTTTATTTTATAATAAAAAAAAAATAATATTTTATATTTTGAAAAGCGTTAATTATTAAAAAGACGTTTCAAGTTTTGAATATCATAAAATTTAGAATGAAGAACACGACTAATTGATTAACATGATAATTGACTAGAGATTATGATCCGATTAATATTAAAAAAGTATACAAACGTCTTATCAAATATTTCGAAAAGTTTTCCATTGTAATACAAATATTTTCATTCGCTCTTGTGAAAAAAATTGGCTGTTGAAATCAAACTTTTAATTTAAGTTTTCACAACTAAAACGAAAATATTCAATTTCATCTATAGCCTAATAAACTAGAAGTTCTAGTGAAAATTATGCTTATCATATACCATAGACTAATATGAATTGGTACTATATCTATCATTATAATCTTCTACTCATTCTGTCTCAATATTGTATACGTTAGAATTTTGTCTCAATTTGTGTGTGTACAATTGCAATATAGTTTCAAGCATAGTGATTTCGTATACATCATTATAAACTTAATGTTTATTTGTAAATCCAAGTTCGTGTAATATACTTACCATGTACTGCGTGTACGCAATAATATATACTACTATATTCCGGAATAACTTTTTATGTTATGCTTTCTTTCTTCTATTATGACATAGAATTCACGTGTTGGTAGTGCTCATGGTCCCCCTACGAGAATTGAGACAACATATGTTACAAGTTTTTTATATGAAGATAGGATAAATATATTACAATTATGTTGGGTATCAGCTTGAAGATTCTGTTTTGATTACAGATGATCTTGATACTATCAATAATCAGATGAATAAACTTGATATTTTTATGCGTGAAATAAACAATGGAAAGCATCAGTCACAACACAACAAGATCTACTTCCCATAAATACTATCATCCTATTTCATCAGTTACTTTTGAGTATATTGTATCATTATTTTCATATAGCATAAATTTCACACTGGTAGTGCCTATGCTACTTTTATTTTTTTTTTCTGCTTCACTCTTTCATTATGTTTGTTACCTGTTGTATTTGTTTGTGTATTATTAGCTATTTCTACTCGTAGTATTATAATAAAGTGTAATGCAAACGTATGTTGAACTAGAACTTTTAATTCATTTGGCTATAGTTTTTATTCCTGTCGTATTTTTTTAACGAGAAGAATAAATTCTAATTATAGAAAAAGAAAACTTTAATTAAGTAACAATTATTATACATAGGAAATACTTGAAACTAACTATTTGAAATCATTTGTCTCTATTTAAAAGAAGAATTAAAAATACTGAGATAATGTTTCACCATATTTGGCCAATAGAAACATAATTGCAATACCAAGAACTACACCCATATTTTGACTAAATAGAATTTTAAGTTTCAACATGTTTGTGACTGGTCTATTAGCAATAGCATTATCTTTTTCAATTTCATGACCCATAGAAATAAGTTCAGGAATCTGTTCAAAATAAAGAAATCAATATACAAAATAGAAAATAAATCTATAATGTACCATGTCAGTTAGACCAATATAGACAAACATTCCACCAGCTAATGCACAAATCCATGGATGAAAATTTTCAAGTTCACCTAAATAGAAGAAATCATTGTTTTTGTAGATTAGAAAATTATTTCTTTATAAAATTTGCCTAATTTTGCTCCAATTATAAAACCGGGATAACAACCACAAGCAGACAAAAAATTCATTAGAAGAGCTTGCTTTATTGGAAGACCACTACTTAATAAAACAGCAGCATCACCTTTAAATTAAAATAAATATAATATTAATATTCATTTTATTTACTCGTTTTTCTTTTTGTTTTTTACCGAGTTTATGAGAAAATTCTTCACAAACAATGGGTACCATCATACGAAGACATTCACTTATTGAAATGACAGCAATTGCACCTATGGTAAGACCATCAATAAAACCATGAAGTGAATCACTGATAAGAATCATCCATCCAATTGGTTTCATTGTTTTCAAATTTTCTCTTAAACTTTTTGTATTTTTCTGTCGAAGAATTGGCTATACAACAAAAATTTTCTTATTTTATATTCGAATAAAACTTGTTGAATGTTTTAGGTAAGTATAGTTATCTATAGTATACATGTCTCATCAATCATCACAATATATAGAAGTTTTCATTCATTGTCAATAATTAGCGAAAGTTCAAATTTGTTGCAAAATCAAATGAATGTAATAAATTCCTATGGACTATGATCATTTTTTGATAAAATAAAATCTCATTGATGGTACTCATAAAATCAAAAATTATATTTAAATTAGCGAATATTTTCTTTACAGTCGATTTACAATAAATTTTTTTTTTATATTAACTGACATCGTTTTAACCATCAAAGTTATTATGTAATATTTTTAATAAAACATCAATTCATCACAATTAGGAAATTATAAATATAAATTAAAACCTACTTAGTGTTTTTTTTGAACTTACCGATATATCTTCGTCACCATGGCTATGAGTATCGATAACCTAGAATAAACAAATATAAATCAGCTTGTCGGTACAATCTTTTTGAAGTTAAAATGTGGAACACACATGCTTTTTTAAACTTCATCGTCCTAATACAAAATAGGTTAAGTGAAAAATTTCTAACAGACAATAGTTTCTTTCCAAGAATAATCGACCGGTAGACAAATTTTGTTATTATTCATTTGTAAGTTTTTTGTTTTGTTTATTCTTAAATTATTATTCTAGTCATTGATTTAACTGATAAATAAGCTTGCTGCATATATCTCTTATATCCACAACAGGTCTCAATATGCTATTGTGTATATTGATAACCTCAGAAACATTGCAATAAACTATTCCAGAAAGCTATAACTTGATTAGCTCATACTTTTAGTATTGATCACATACCGACGATTCTGGCAAATCAAAACATCATCTTTGATATTTATCATATTATCATTCATCTACACAAAAATCAGAAACTGTTGCGCTATTTAGAATACTACAAATCGCATTCCAGACATTTTAATTTAAATAAGGGCTTTATAATATTCACGAACAATCTAATTCTTGTTGTTAATGCCATTCAGTGCTTTTTTTTCCGTTACTGAGGAACTATAGAAAAGAAGTCTGGTGCCTGTTGTTCTTGTTTGTTATGGAAATGTATCTAAAGATTATTGACTTGGTTATTCAGGATTGTAAGGATAGAAGTCATAAAACTTCGGCTTATCATTTTCTTCGAAAACAAATATGATTTTCATTAAAAAAAAAGCAAGAAAACAATAATCAAATATACAAACCGTTTCAACATGAAGAAAAGTTTCAAATATTTGATCACGCATATAAAATAAATAAATAACAATTGTTGTTACAAGAGCTTTGGTGAGAAACGTTAAATCTTTATCATAATCTTCAATACTAAATGCCTTTAAAAATGAAATTATATTTAATTCAATTATAAATAATTGAAAATATTTACCATTGGAATAAGATGAAATATACCAGTACCAAGAAGTGTACCAACAGCTATACACAAAAAAGAAAATATTATAATCATTAAAATAATACTTTAGATATAATTAATTACCTAAACCAATAAAAGTAGTAAGAATCCATTTAAATGCAGGTTTGTTTCGAAATGGTAAAATAATCGCACTAAAAAGTGCCGACAAATTAATAATACTTACTGAGATTAAACCAACTAATATATCTTCAATTATAAGATAATTTTATATAAAATAATCTCATATATATTATTACATACTTTTCCATTTTGTAGTACCTTGTAATTTTAGACATCCTTCATTAAATTTAACATTAACTAAAGTTGGAGTTACTTGTTTGATATCTGTACGAGTTAGATTAGTACTTTCATCTATTCTTGTAATATTTAATGCATTAAGTAAATCATCTGTTGATTGAAAACACTAATAGATATTGAATAAATTTACACATATATTCAATATTCTTTACATAAATATTTACCTTATTTTTAATAGTACCTTGTTCAATATCTTTATTGGTAATCGTATGACGAATATATGCTAGATCATCAACACCATTTGATTCAATTAATTCATTATAAAATAATTTTAAATTGGTTTGATTTTTTAAATGTGAATAAACAAGATTTTCTTCTAAACGGCTTAATTCTATGTTTAATGTCGAAACAGAATCTGCTTCGATATGAACAAGAAAAGCAAGAAAGATTACAGTTATTTTTATCATCTATGAATAAATTAAAACAATTATTACATGAATAAAATTTGAAAGAAAAAAAAAACAATAACTTTTACTATGTCAATATTTTGAAATATCTATTTTTTATTGATTTTGTTATTCTTGTTATACAGGTAAACTGTATTGCATTTTATAGTTATTATAGTAAAAACCCCCCATAATAGAAGACACCCCCGCCCCCATAATAGAAGACCCCCATTTTTTTAAGATTTTTTTTTTTGAGAATTGAAAATTTTCATCAGTTTTTTTACCCCGAAACGTGTCTATTTCTGAGATTTTCAGCTAAAAATTTTCAAATCCATGAGTTCAACTCTATATATAAGCTTCGAAAATCGTGAAAATCCTTCCTCCAATTTTCAAAATCGCTTCGGTTCTCTCAGAGGATCCTTTTAGTTATAAAAATTTATCAGCGTAGCCGCTGTGGAGGCAAAGTGTAGTACTCATAAGACTCAGACTGCTACAAATTTATATTATATTCTCAAAAATGGATGGAAAAATTTATTTTCAAAAGATATCATATAAACGGATAGATTACAACTAATTCTATTGTTTGAGTTAAAGCATACGCTGTAAAACTTTATTCCAACGAAACTATTTCATTTCGAATTACTACCTCTCCCTTCACTCCACTTATTAGATTTCTTGAATATATATATAATACTAATAATATCAACGCAGAATGTTAAATTTCTAAAGAAACATTGATCATAGTGATTAATTTATAGCAGTTTCTATTCGTACATGTCAAACATTTTTTTTCTAATACATGCTTTTTTTCGTGTCGCTCTTCGCTGTGTTATTCTTCTGTTAATTGAGATTATAATTATTTCGTATTATTCGATTCAAGCTTTAATTTAATAGTTAAATAAGCTCAGTATAGACATTGGTTGTATCTTCGCCAGATCCTAATAAACTTGTATGCATATTAATGTACAGAGCAAGACACAAAATAAATATTTCTAAAAGTTAGAAAGTAGTTTGATCACGCTTTTATGTAACTTATACTGCAGCTATGAAAAATCACAAAAGATTATCTTTCTCATGGATCGTACAAACTTTTATCTGCGCAAAAAGAGGAGGCTAGCTTTTTGCTAATGCTCATAATAATATTCTAACTATTGATAATTAAAATATTCTAGAAGTTTCCACAACCTTTTAAATCTAAGTGATTGCTACGACATCTAATAGGGAAAAGGGAACAAGCTGAAAAACCTTGAGTCAAACTTACGGTTGCTATTTGTTTCTTCGTAAATATATGTGAGCTATACAAAGCTTAAAAACATAATATTTAGAACAGAAACCAGAAATTACAGAATTTTCAAATAATATAGCCGTTGATATTAATGACTTCCGATTGTTTGTCGTTTTGGAAAGATATAGTGATGTTTTTCCTAGCATCTGGTTACTATGATAGAAGCTGAGAAGCCGTAGAGCCTGAACTTAAACTTGCATTTACTGAATGCTTTGAAAACACTCGTAAGTTTCGCAAAAAAACGAGAATCATAATCAAGACCCCCCTAAAAATTTTTTCCGCTTAAACATAATAGAAGACCCTGGGTCTTTTATTGTGAGGGGGGGGGGGGGGGTTAGAATCTTTTTCACTTATCTGATCTAATGTGAAATACTAGATTTGACAAATTTGTTTCCTTATGAGCCTTCTTTCACTTTATTCGGTCGAGCTGAAAATTTTATCACAGATATTCGAAAGATCTTCTACAAGTATTTTTGTTCGTTTTTACTATTAATTGTTTAGTGTAGAATTATTGAAAATCTTCCCTATCACAAAATGTTTCTTCGAAGAGACGATTACAATATTTACTGAGAATAAACAAAAAGAAAACTTCTGAGGTGTCAACTCGGCTATTTTCAAAAATATTGTCAATCTTATAAGATGAGATTACATGGAAATTGTAATTGAACTCGATGAAACTTTGTGGAAATGTTTTTGAACAATGATTTCTTTAAATGAATTTTTTTATCATAGGAAATTGAAATGAAGTTTCCCTTCCTGGAATAGATATAACTTTTCTAAAAATAAAGGGCCGAATTTTACAGGCTTTTAATAAAAAATTTTGACCCTACTAACTTATTTTTCGAGAAATTTTCGTGGTTCTTTTAGGTTTGGGGAGACTGGCTTTTTGCTTGCATCAGGATTGGATAAACATTCTTATATAATTTAAGCACGACAGATGATGCTAACTTACATCATTTGTTATGTGCTTTTAAAAATTCCATATAAATATATTTTGAATGTTTTTTTTCTCCACTGGAATGAAAAAATCCACATCTAAATTTATTTACCGTTTTTCTTAGAATATGATTTTCAATTAGAAAAATTGAAATATTCTCCCACCCGGTTCAAGATATAACCAAGATTTTTTTTTGTTTTAGAGGTCTAAATGAGAGTAAACTTTTGTCCGATCAGATTTCTTATAGTTGATTTCTATGCTTGAGAAAAGCGAGATTTAGTGTTGTGAAGTGACATTTTCTTTTGTTTATTTTAATACTATGTGTACTAAAATGATCATAAAGAATGAATGGAAACAAATTTCAAAATTTTGTTCGGACAAAAACTGCGCACATGTATTGACTTTTATTTGAAACTACCCTAAGCTCTATATCGTTTGTAGTGACGAAGCAATAAAAATTCTCCTCAAGGCTATAAATAGACTGTAAACAACTTGGAAGTTCGCTCTCGTTTGATATATCGGGCTGAAATTTTTACTAGAAACATTTCTCATTAGGACTATTCATTTCTGAAAATTTCAAGCCCAAATGGACCATCCTAAGTGGAAAATCTATTGTGTGTGAGGAGGAAAGAGGGTTAACTTTATCCTTGTTGAATAGTAACTATCGTCAGACAAGATGAAGAGAGTATACATAAAGCTTTTGAATCAATAAAAAAGACATAAATGTCGAGTAGCTTTAATGACGATCGTTAAAAATTGATTTATTATTCATACTATCAACGCGTGTTTTTTTTTCTATATTCTATATATATATAAATAGATATTTAATTCCAATCTAAACGACTACGAAAATGCGGAACAGAAGAAAATGAATAATAGTATTGATTTAGTAAGAATGATGTTAATCTCAGATTTATACTGAACATTTTATGTAGTCGTACTGAATACGATCGTAAAACATAAAACAAGGAATCTTTTTTTTTTTGTATTGGTATATGATATTGATAATTTCAATACCTCACTCGAAATTCGTTACATCATCATTTTAAAATTTAAATAACAAAGTATTTTTACATCTTAGAGATTGTTAGTTGAATAGATATGTAAAAATCAGTCAATGTTGTATTGCAGTATAATATTGATGTTAGAGTACAAAAAAGAATCATTAGTTTCTAGTACGCACTTATTTGAAGGTGGCAAGTAGTATGCTTTTATGCACATAGTGTTTGATGAAGATTGCATAGGCAAATAATATGCGTGACACAAACGCAGTTCACATTAAAAAAATGATGACTACATATGCGTTCTCTTCTTTCATGGGATCTCATGCGTGAAAATTATACGAAATAAATCATTGTTTTTTATATATAGATAATATATTATAACAATAGTGTTACAACAATAGATAAGATTTCAAGAAGTACACTAGCGAGCATACAACCAGAAATTCTTTCAAGCAGGTGCTTGATACAATGAGAATAATATCTTCACTGTAGAAAAATAAATGTGCTCGTATTCTTCTCTCGGTATTTTATTTCTCGTAAAGTAAAAGTGTCAAGACGGCCCTTTTGGCTGCAAGACTGCACAACTACATAGTTACATAGAGGAAATTAAAATTGACTAATGGGAAAAACTGTACGGCTTGTACATAAGATAAAAATGATAAATCAAGTGTGTGGACTGATTTGATAAATTAATCGGATTTTTATAGTAATGATAGTAGTATCATATTAAAGATGTCATGACAGTCTCATTTCCACTATATATCAATCGGATGAAGGAACCATTTCGGGTGTCCCCTCTGATTTTAATGATTTTTTTTTATCTATGGATACCGTTCAATGCTCTAGTAAAAGCTCTAAAAGAATTTGGATTCTCATCACTTCCTTCAAAAATGATGAACAGTTTAATTTTTCCTCTATAGTGTATAACATTCAGTGCGGGACATAAATAGCACTACGATAAAATATGAAATATCTCCCTATCGACTCAATTAAATGGATTGATTTTTTGGTTATTAGTAGAAGTGTATTCAAAGCTTTTTTTCATATGGATAAGGTAAGCAAATATTACTATTAAGTATCATGAAAGCAAATTTTACCTGTTATCAAGTGAAAAAGATACATGTTTAGCGTTTCATAGATAATTTTGAGTTGTTATCTAACGAGGGAATTTTATCAGGTGATAAATTACTTTTCAAAGGAGTCTTACCTCATTAGATAGGACCTATTGAGACTAGAAAATTCTTAACATGATTCGTGCTCATAGACCTTTTTTCTTGAGTTATGGTCATTTTATTGAATTTTTCAACAAAACGTCGCGGTCCTTCTCCTCAGGTCATCTCCAAAAATTGACTTTCGAATTTCGAGTTCAAATTTTGTATAAATAAAATTCTCAATGAGACTAGTTCATTGTGAAAGTTTCAGATTTTTTAGTATCATCTATTTTGAGATACGGATATTGAAAATTCTGTTATGCGAAAAGCAAAAAGCAAACTTTATCTTTATATTTTATTCACAATGAACTAGTCTCATTGAGAACATTATTTATGCAAAGTTTGAACTCAAAATTCGAAAGTCGATTTTTCAAGATGATCTGAAGAAGACCACGACGTTTTGTTAAAAAACTCAATAAAATGACCATAACTCAGAAAGAAAGATCTATAGGTATGAATCATTTTAGACTTTTTTCTAATCTCAATAGGTCCTATCTAATGAGGTAAGACTTATCTGAAAAGTGATTTATCATCTGACGAGATCCCCTCGTAAGACGGATTGTCTTATGACAATACCACTTGCTCTACAACTTCTGTCGTTATCTTTCTTTACTATATGTTTTATGTCATTCTCTTATGGTCGTCCTTGGATTATTTCATTCGTTCTCTTTGTTGAGTGTTGCCTTTTGTCTTATTTGCATGCGAGAAGATTTTCCTTCTTGACTATTCACCATCTATAGGATTCTCCATCAGATGAATTTTTCCATTTTTGTATGACTATATATAATTATAATTTAATTCTAATCAACTAGAGAAGAAGAATGAGTATCAGACCGAGAAGATTCTAGATAGAAAGAAAAATTATCGCTAAGCAGAGAGAAATTTTCTATCGTAAAGTATATCTTTACAACATGTTACAAAAACTGTCAATATCAGTATCCATATACAGAAATGTTTTCAATACTGACGAAGCACCGTCAATATTTTAGTACTGAACAGTAAATATATGAAATGAGACTCGTGTCGAAATTGCTGTGCACTACAAAGAATACAAATGTAGAGCCAAATATTCAGATAATATCCGTTGGTTTGCTCGTTATAATTTGCATTTTTTAAAGTTTATTTTAAAAAGTTCTTAGCACTGCACAACTTCATTTATTTCTTCACTCGTCTGCATGCGGTCAAGTATTTTTATCCTACATAAACTACCGTCCATTCATACTCGAATATCTTTTATTAGTCAATTTATTAATACTTATAATACTACTACTCATATTCCATTTCAAACTCGTGTTTCTCAACAATGCATTCATCTATCCAATCTTCCATTGTTGTCATCGATAGTAAAATCCGTTCAGAATGATAAACCATTACAAGATTATACAATATTAAATATTCAACATCAACTAGGCGATGTCACTGCACAAGTCGAAGCATCAATTGTTCTTGGTGCATTACCTTCAAATATATATTTTCTTCCACCACCATATACCCATCATAAGGATTTTGAATTATTTGTAATAAAAAATTATGGAGTTCCAAAAGAAAACTTTTTTCAATCATCATCATATCGTTTACGGTATAATTATGACAAATATCGTTTACTTCATGTTATATTTATGTTAAATCGAATGATGAAAATGGAATTAACGCAGAAAAGAATGAAACATAATAATTTACTTGTATTAGATGATGGAGGTTGTTTTTCTGAAGCATTAGCAATTCTATATGATATTGATGACGGGAAATTAGATCCAAATGAATTGGTTGAAAATCTTCCATTATCATTAAAACTACAACAATCAGATACGACATGTCTCATATCATATTTTCGATCGATTGAAATTCGTCTTGTTGAACAAACGTCACGTGGTTTATTTAAATATGTAGATCAACCAAAAATAGCACTGGCATTACATCAACTTGGAATATCTATTATCGATGTAGCATCCAGTGAACCCAAAAAACGACTTGAACCTCCAATTATTGCTGAAGCTTCTCTGAATATGTTATCATATTTATTCTATGATGCACCACATTATTTACGAATTCCAAAGCCATCTAAATTACAACAATGTTTATTGCTTGGCTATGGAGCTATTGGACGAGCAATTGGTTATGCTTTAACACATGAGGGTGATTTAGGAATGTTTTCCAAACGTTTGGTCAAAGTATGGGACAGAGATGTTGTTAAATGTAAATTAGCACAAGATGATGGTTTTGAAATATTTGATCAGTGGAATAAGAAAGAACAATTTGATTATATTATTGGTTGTGCTGGTCGTTGCTCATTACCAATATCATCTTTGTCATTATTACGTAACAATTCTTATTTGATAAGTGCATCATCAGCAACTATCGAATTTCCATTGCATGAAATGGTTGAATGTGCATTATTCAATGATAGTTATACTAAGATACCAATAAGTTTATTTGATGGACACATTGATGAATTAGATAATGAAGATATACATCGTAATATAAAATTTCAAATTGAAAATGGACGAACTATAACTATTGTTAACGGTGGAATGCCTATTACATTTTTAGGATTTTTAAATCCAACAATACCAGAAAAATTCGATTTAACAGTAAGTTGTATGATAGCAGCAAGTATCCAAGCTGTACATACAAAGAAAAGGACAAATGATCAAAACCGTATTATACCACTTGATTCGACATATTCGAAATTGATTTGTAATTGGTTTGATACTAATAAAATCTGATAAGAGACACTAATAAATTATTCAATGCCAGCTCTTATGAAGCGTATTTTTTTGGGTATGGACGTGAATTTTCTTTTCGACCACGCCTCCAAGCATATCCTTCAGTTTCTATATTATTTGCGACACTCATTTCTTCGCTATTATACTTCTTTACACCTTTCTTGTTCGCTCCTCTCTTATCTCGTATTGATTATCATTTTCTCTTTCTTATTCATCATTTGTGGGAAAAATTGGTCAATCTTCATTCAATCTCAAGTCATTTTATCATAGTTTCAGCATCTGACATTTCTTGGTGGCACCTGAGATCGCATTCACTTGCCTCTCAACAAGTCTGCGAATGTTTGCACTCTAGCTTGTACACATCTGATCGATAAAATTTAATATTGTAGCTCTTGGCCGGTTTAACAGCGGGGATTGAATTGACTGAATGAATTCCTTAGGTTGATCCGTCATCTAAACGCTTATCCTTACATATTCTAGAATCATTATCAGTTATTTGATAGATTTTGTGTATCTATTGACAAGTTCATTCTCACTTTGGTCTGCATAAGATATATGAAAGTTGATACTATAATGAAGAAAATAACAAGCGGTGCTAGAAATATTGATTATCACTGTGACAAATGCCAAATATTTGTCTTGCTTTAATGCCTTTTCATCAACAAAGACGTCATAAAGTACTCATGGTGTTAACGAAAGCAAGAGCTACTCAGAAGTGAATCATCCTCGATAAAAATCGATTTAATAAGACTTTTGTTATTGAAAGAATTTTTCTTCGTTAAATTGAGTTGGAACATCTGAACAATTATAACTATATCAGAGAGCAAAATTCAAATTGACGCAACTAGATTGGCTTCGGTTTTATTCTCTATTCAAGTTTAGTGAAGACCAATGATAATGCATTTGATGATGCATCCAACATACAAGATTGATCTGATACCATGATTCGATTTCAATGCAAAATCAGAGGAACACACAAGAGAATATGATTGAGAGAGGTGCTGGTTAAGGTCTTCCGTTGGAATGCTTGTAGACAGAAAAAAATTTCGTACGTTTGCCATGATTTATTGACAAAACGGATCAAAAGTATAGCTGCAGCAGCGATAGTATAGACTTAGAATAAAGACAACGGTAATATTCATAGTAATACTATAGATACTTGCTTTAGGTGAAGTAGGTATATTAGTCTCAACAGATGTCACTCTTTGATGATAACATTTTTATCTCTTGTTATTGGTGTTTTTCATCCTCTTTGATGGTCGTATTATTATACCTTCTCCTTTGAGTTTGTTTTTCTCATCCTCTGATTATCATTATTATTGTTATTATAATTGATTATTTGTTTGATTTTTTTAAAATAAAACAAAACCAACAGTATTTAATTGACACTATTCAAATAGCACAACTACAAGAGACGGTAGGCTTCTGTTACATGCGCTTTTGCATTCTTCGGAAGGTGAGACCCATAGTGTAAGATACATGACCTTCCGTGAATATACCTACGTCTTAAGAATGCATATGTTCACTTGGAGTTCAGTATTTAAAAGACGCTTCTAACGTGTTATTAATCAGGATGAATGATCGATTTCTATACGAACAAACAGTCATGTATCAATTGTTGAAAAGAATGTCAGCTGAATTTTGCAAGTATTTCTGCACAACACACTCTTCATATGATGCTTGATCAGGATTTTAATGCTCAGAAATATGCGATACTTGGAGGTAGTTTCTCTAGTTCAGTTTTCAAATCAAATCCAAGTTTTCCCCTTGGTATTCAATGTTTAAGTGACTCATTGCTGCAAAAGCGTTCTCTTGCACAATGTCATTGCACGAACAGGACAGATCGATTTGAGCAATTAAATTTTGAAAAATCAGATATACAAAACTGAATGGTTAATACACAGTATGAATTGATCGAATGAAGATGAATCATTCGAACCCTGGCGAGAAACATTGATAATGGCTGTCGAAGTACTTTGCCCCATACAGATGATCCAGCATAATTTACAATAACATATGTACTGGAAATAGTGTAGATAACTGCAAGTGCTAGCGAGTTTTCAATTGGAAATATAGCTGCTTACAACTATTTGCTATGCGTACTGTGGTTTCTAGATACTTAAAATTACATTCGATAAATCCATTCACACTACCCCATACTGCTTCAAACCTATTCATCAATTCGGCTACAGTGTTGCAACAATAATAATTTACTGCTGCTCAAATATAGAAACTATAGCAAAACCAGAACATTGCCGAAAACTGATCGTGCAGGTTGCGAATTTCTTAAACTCAATCATCTATTTTCGTGTCCTATCTATCGTAGATGAGTAGATGCCGCCACAGGCTTTTTTAGTACAGGTAAAGAGTAATACGATCGCAAACAAAATAAAAACAAATGATCGACTTATTTCACTAATGCAGAGCGTTGAAGGTCTTTAAAAAACAATATTGACACTAAGTAGTAGTATATTATAGACGCACAAATACCAAAGTTTGTAGTTTCACCTTACATATAAGAATCTCTGCTCCAAATAAATATTTTACTAGAGAATAAAACAGACTGTATTCTTGACATCATTTTCATTGATATTCACGTCGATAGAAATTTCACAAATAATACCAATCATGCTTGGACTCAGTTTTCTCCTGCATAAGGTAAAGTGTGATTTTAGAAAGGTTGTTTCGTCAACTTCGCTGGATATCTTTGACACATAGTTACAAAGATCAGTCGATCATTCCAACTTGTATTCTGTTAAATGGAGATGCAGATGTGAGTCACTATTTTTGTTTTCTATTAAATATCCACTCATGGAGGTGGTTTATGCGTAGGCCATAGTGCATCGAAAAGTAGTGCCGCTTTATATTGCATACATGATGAGAAATTCATACACAGTCAATTTAGTAGGCTCCTAAAATGATTATCAACAACTAGGAGGAGGTTATTAGCCGATTTCTTTCGTATCTTGTTCTAAGCTGAACATTTTAGGACTTGAGCAATTCATGAGACTTACCTTTTAAAAGGCTTCTGTCCTGCACTAGGCCACAATCTTCTCATTCTAACACATCAATAGGTACACCCCTTGAAATCAAATTGAACATTTTTCACAATATGAGAGAGATTTAATCATTCTACATGCATTCTTGAATGATTCTAGACGTGGATTCTTATTGATCTGACAGTTATCATTGGTATGGCTTCCGTTGACGCAGCAAATCCACGGAGAGAAGAAACTATGTGCAACTCTCATAGTTCAGACGAGACAACACTAATTGTTATGGCAGCACCATCGGTCAAAAACAGTTATTATCGGACTGTATTTAATCAAATTATCGATTATATGGCAAATTTTGCAAATCTTGTTCGTGGTAAAGACGAGGTAGTAATCCTTACAGATGCTGTGACACTGCCATATTTCAATGGGAAAGTGGCTGACAATATTCTGATCGAAGCCAACATAGAAGATATTTGGATTCGTGATTTTTCTCCTGTTATACCCTCCCAACAGATCAAATTTCGATATCTGCCTAATTATCATCCTAGATCTGTTGCAAATTTGATTGATAATAGCTTTGAAAAATGGTTATCTGATAATGATTTGAACTGCAAGAGAAAGTCAAACATTATTCTTGATGGTGGAAATGTTGTTGATAGTCCTGATGGTTCACGAATGATCATCACCAGTCGGATTCTAACAGATAATCCTCAGTTGACCAAAACGGAGGCAAAAAATCAACTCAAACACATTATAGGTACTTGTCAAGTAGCCATCATTCCAGAGCTGCCCGATGACACGACTGGCCATTCGGATGGAATGTTAATGTGGGTGAGCAATGATAAGATTCTTTTGTCGCTAGTTTCTGAACCAGAAAGAACACAGATTATTGATGAACTTGAAAAATCTTTTCCAGGTGTTAAGATTATCGAAATACCTGATTATTACCAATACGCTACTTGGAAAGGTTTCACTTCTGCTTGTAACGTATTTGTCAATGCCATCGTAACTGATCAATACATTTACATGCCGACATTTAGTGGTCCTCATGATGAATCGATGTTCAATTTAATTCAATCTCATACGACCAAGAATGTAATAGCTGTGCCAGCTGAGAAAGTTTGTTTCATGGGTGGCAGTGTTCGTTGTCTTAGTTGGCAAGTCAAAGGAGAATTGAAGAAAAAGATTTTAAATTTAACTCGACGTGAACAAGAAGACGTTATTAACTAGATACTCTGGATTCATTTATTCCTTTCATTTGAAATTTTCTTCATATGTTTCTTATAAGTGACACATAGTGTAAGAAAAGATCAAGTAAAAAAAGTTAAACCTAATCCAAAAATGATGAATACATGGTGCAATGATGATACCATTTGTTTCTGACCACAATGAAGCAACGCAAGATCCGATTCGCTGTTAGTATCTTAAACTAAGCCGAATAAGATTTCTTGAAAGGTTTCAAAGAAACTTGAAAGTATTTTCAGAGTACATGAACATGCTGATTTTCATTGATGTAAAGTGCCATGCACTCCGATAATATTACACGATGACTCAGAATATACTCGTATTTTGTAAAAATGTCTCTCGCTTAACTCAAAAACTACCGGTGATCGATAGTTTTACGATGAACTCTCCTATTCAATTGCTGACATGAATCGAGCATGAACTCAATTCATGGCTCATGTCTCTTTTGTTAAAGATGTTCTTATGGTACACTCTATATTAAGAAATCAGTATGGAAAAGAATGGAAAGTGTATATAGTTCAATGAATTCGAATCGGTTTTTTTAGTTGTCTAATGACACATTTTATCGATTTAAGTTGGGTAAAATATCAAAATCCTATGGTTATAATGAAAGTCTAAAAGCCGATTATTCTGCAACGAAATTAAAAATAACATTGATTAAAATACATGTTTTTTTGCAGATCATAATCACATGAAAGTCAATAAAAATTAGATTATTATCAAAAGCTATGATTATAATTTACAGAAAACCTCCGCTCT